TTTTTTTTTTTTTGATTATACTGGCGGTACAGTAGTAATTGGTGCCTGTTCTTTAGATTGTAAATTTCCAATACTGCATATAGACTTCTTCCAATTTTTAGCACATATAATCTTCCATAAGGTTTCTGTATCCAGTTCATTATCTAACCTAAAAATAAAACTGCTTAAGCCAACACTTATTCAACCATTTTTTTTTTTTTTTTTACCTCTAAGTGAGTTATAAATTTAGCCGATAGGGTAAGCTTATTTTAAGCTCATCACTTTATTGCTTTTCTTTTCTTTTTTTTTTGCTGAAATTTAGAAAAAATGATAAATTTTAACAACTCTAAATGATCGCTTTTCTGATTTGTCATTTATGTGAAGTGCTCAAATGTTATAGCGATTATTTAGATTGTTTAGACAATCTTGATTATTTATTCAATCTACACTAATGTTCCTAGCATATAAATGATCAATTTGTTGACATCTCTCAGGAATATTTTTTGCTCACAGAACCAGCAAACGGATAGCAGATAATAGGAAAATCTGATTTTGGATACGTGGTGAACCATAAAGTTTAGGCGGTAAGATGCACTGGAATGCAACAAAGTACAGAGCACACACCAGAGGATGTTTCTAACTTTTAAAGTTCCTTTAGTACTCTGATTATAGCAGGCTAGATTCTTCAAAGGAAAACTCAGAATCTGACAAAAAAAAGAAACCAGAAATAGCATTGGAAAATAAAACATACAGAAGGAGACCTAACACCTTTAATAATAAGTTTTGGTCCAATTACTCATTACGACAAATCACCAAAGCATCTTTAGCAAAAAACTGATTCTTACAGCTGTAGCTGAATCTTCTATTTCTCTATTAATTTTTTAGATAAAATTTTGGAAAAGATTTAGATAAACAATTTTTTTTTACAAAAAACTTTTGTAAAGTCATCAAACAAAAATAAGATTTTTTTTTTTTTTTGATGTTTGTCTACACAGCTGAATCGGTTTAAAAATTATCCTAGAACTATTCTTTTTCTTAAAACCTTTTGCAGCTCTAGAAAAAACTGCTCTACTTTGAAATGCTAGCACTCTACTTCATTCTTTAATTTGTAATTTGAGTTTGAATTTCAAGAACTCAAGCTTATTGCTCTTCTTCTAACACTGTTATTTAGACACACTTTCATTCTCCAATCTTTTTGACACAAAACGGCTTTGATAGTTATATTTCTTTCTAGGTACCTACTGAATCACTTTTGCTGATAGGCAATTATTTATTTATTGATAATGATCTGCAAGGAGTAGGTAGAAATTTACTATGAAGCAGTCAGTTTGATGAATCTTCCTAAATTTTCTCCTCATAAAGCAGAAAATCTCATACAGAATAAAGACAGGTACAGGCAAAAAAGCTTAATAATTTTTTGAAAGAAAAGTGCAAAAGGAAGGCATTGTTTATTAAGGAAAAAAAAAATGGAAAAGCAGGAAGAAGAAAAAGTGAAAAAAGAGAAAAAGAATCATTCTAAGTGTTAGGATAGTCCATAAAAGATTTATAATTGTCTCTACCTGTAAAGAACACTCATTGTAGAAAGTTTAGAAGTGATATAGATAACTTATAATCATTTAGAAAAGCTATATAAATTCTGAAGTTTTTTGTTAACGGATAGTATATTACGTTTTCCGTAA